GAATTTGTTTGACTTACTGCAGAGAGGAAATGGCCGTTAGCAGCTGGACTCGTGTGCAGGAACGTCTTGTGGGCAGGCAGTGAGGACAGCCAGGCCCAGAGGGACAGGCTCTGTCCAGAGCTTCTGAGGATGGCCGTGGGGGAGGGGAGGGCGCAGGACACTGGGTAACGTACACGCTGCGGAGGCCACACCACACGTTCCCGTCCTGACCACTCAGCTTGCTCTGCCGTGCCCAGCGCAACCCTGTCCTACTTTCTAAAGGTTCTCAGCATGGCTGTCCGCACCTTCCCTCACTGCCCCTTGGATGTAAGCTCCTGGCAGGCGCCACACATCTTAGGTCCCCGCATCCCGAGAGCGTGCGGAGGCCAGTGAGCCGGTCGGACGGGAGGCCTCCAGTTCCACCCGTCTAACCCAGTGGTCACGTGCACGTCCTGCAAAGCCAACTGTCTGAGACGGTCCGAGCTTCAGCAGGAGAGAAGGGTGCCCACGTCTGCACGTGTGTCAGAAACGACACAGTGTGGTGGGGACGGCAACAAGAAGCGTGCTCAGCCTGCCCAGCAGGTCACCCTGTTCTTCCTCCTGGTTCTCCCCTGTGGGCAGGTGCAGGGTGGCTCCTAAGGTACACACGTGTGTACATATGATTTAAGGTGCTGTCTTTTTAGTGGGCTGAGTATGAAAGTAAACCATAACTCACTAGGCATTAAGTGGCCACTTAACCGGTACCTCTCAAATCACAAGAATCCAAAATCTGCTACTAGAAAAGTCTGTGACCCCTGAGTGTAACTTTCCTATCTTCAGGATGCCCAGGAAACTTCTATTTAATAAATGCACACTCAGACCATTAAAATGTTCTGAAAATAAAATTTTCCATGCAAAAAAACAGCCTATGATATGCCAACTGGACAATAAATATCACTTCATTAATTAAATGTGAACTTAGTGTAACCTGAACTGATCACTGAGATAGTCTTCCCTCTCGTTCTTATGAGAGAAAGTGATGAAAAGCACCTGAGCTCTGCGGTGAGGGAACCACGCCCTGGACCCAGCACTCACCGCGCACAGCCTCCGCCTCCGACCTTAGCGTCTGACGAGGCCCCGACAAGGACGCAGCTTCTCCCCGCCTGCCTCCCGCAGGGCCCACTGCTGCGCCCACTTAGACGGCCATTACAAGCAGCATCTTGTTCATTGTGGCTGCAATGCTGGAGGGCCCTTGGGATAAAAATAAATACCCCTCCCGGCATTGTAACGGGCGTCCTTCTCTATCTGTGGGCTGCTAGTGTCATCAACTGTTGGTGTGTATATACTTGTTTTACTTAAACCTGTCAATAAACTCCACATTTCAACATAACTGAGGGGAAAATGCCACACAGATGACGAGAAACAGCAGCCTGTTGGTAGAGACAATGAGACGTGATCGCCACTGGGCCCTGCGGCCCCGCCCGGATGCCGGGTTCCTGCCAGAGGACCGCCTGCTGTGTGTGGACTGCGTGGCGCCAGCCCTTCGCACGGTCCGGTCCGGAGGCTCCTCCCGCCGCAGGACGGCTCTGCTTCTCTGCTGACACAGGCTGCTGTCTGCGCTGCTACTTGCTAAGCAAACGGCACAGTGGCCTTGGAGGCCCAGGGCTGTAAGGCTCACCATGAGTGTAACCAAGGAACTAAGAGATCGACGTCGAGGCGGCGGCCCAGACCCCTGGTCGTTACAGGCAAATGCCTGCTGTCTGCCCAGAGTGCAGGAGAGGACACAGCACCCACAGAGGCCCTGCAAGCCCCCGCACCTCGCATCCTGGACACTGCTACCACCGCAGAAGGTCCCACCTGCCGACAGTGATTCTGGCGCTGAATGGAGCAGTTGGGTAAAACAGCAATTTGGTAAGTGAGGCTATCAAAACAGGAGATTGACAGCTACCTGCCTTTCAAAGCCTTATTTTACTGAATGAGACAGCTCGGAGTGTGAGCATGTAAAACGAGTGTTCTATCAACAAAGCTGTCCAGGCCCCTTGGTCTAGGGTCCTCCGGAAGATTCTGACCCTGGGGTTTATGAAATAGTGGAGTGCCATCCCCTGGAATAGCTCCATGAGGCAGTGGCTAAGTGGGGTCTTGGATCACCTGCTGGTGGGGCTCCCCCAGGGGACACTGCTCCCCACAACAGAGAAGGCAGGAGAACCCGCCTCAGGAACCAGGTTCTGCAGTGATTTCTTCGAGGGGCTGGGGGGTACCTTCCTTGGACTAGAAATCAAGCGAAACTTGGGGCCCCTGCGGAGCACTGGCAGCCACAGGGCCATGGGAGGTGCCCCATGCCATCCCGTGGTCTGAAAGCTCCGGGAATGCGGGGCTGCAGGGGCGGCATCTGAAAGGCAGTCCGCGATCACACTCTGCGAGGAGGCAGGAGCGGGATTCTCACCACAGCAGCACGTAGTGACCTTGCAACACCTTCCACCACCGAGCCTCCCTTAGTAGTTCCAGGCAAATCCCTCAACGTTCATGTCATAGATTATTCTAGAAGGTGCTTACCTGGAGATCAGGATGCGCAGCTTGAATTCTGAATCCAGGAACCAGAAACTGATTATTTATCTCTGAACGGGTATTGCTTTCGGGAACCCACATCCCAATAAGCTTCAGGTGCCAGCCCCATCCCTGCTGAGTGCTGGCCCTGCCTGCTCACGGTGCTGCCACAGCCCTGGTCCTGCCCATGTGCTGGTTCTCTAAAGAAAGGCATCAGTTTGATTTGCTCTCCCACTTTAAACAGTGATGCTCTAAGTCAGAATAAAAAGCCCTACACAGTCCCATTGCAAAGCCATTTCAATAATGCTGACTGCTCTTTAAAAATGGGTCTGTTTTGTACCTTAAAAGTTGATTATTTAAAATACTAGAGATTATTTAAATACCATTCGTGCACTGGGGGTGGGGGCCCCTCAGCCAGGCCTGTGCCCTCTTGTAGTCTGGGACCCCTCGGTGGACGTCCCCTGAGGGGTCCTTAGTGCTGCAGCGGAGGGGGGAGAGGCTCCCGCCACCACTGCTGTGCTCGCCAGCCCTGAGCCCTGCTTCTGGCTGAGTGGCGCTCCCCCTGTGGGAGCGTAATGACCACCAGGGGGCAGCTGCTGCATTAAGCGTCTGCCCCATCGTGGTCAGTGCACATAGCAAGTGGTGTTCCGCCGTTTGGTCGATTTGCATATTGGGGTTTTATTATATAAGATGACCCAGTCCAGCCAGCATGGTTCAGTGGTTGAGCAATGACCTATGAACCAGGAGGTGACAGTTTGATTCCCTGTCAGGGCACATGCCCAGGATGCAGGCTCAATCCCCAGTGGGGGCGTGCAGGAGGCAGCCAATCAGTGATTCTTTCTCATCACTGATGTTTCTATCTCTCTCCCTCTCCTTTCCTCTCTGAAATCAACAAAAATATATTAAAAAAATAAAATATGACCCTAAGTAAACTACAATTGGAAGTTTCATTCCAGCAGACGGAGAGCAGCACCTGAGATCTGGTGGGACCCTTGGTGCAATGATGCACATGCAACTCTTCCACACGGATCATCGCACACGGACACCACGACTCCCAACGTAATGCCCCTGCTGCCCAAACAGCATGAGAATCCAAAGAGCATAGTCCACCACCTTCGTCACAGGCCACGTCAATTACAAATCATGAGTCAGCCCCAACAACTCATGATTTCATGCCAACCACACATTTCAAACAGCGCCCAGAGGAACTTGCCAAATTGGTCTGTTCTCCAACTCTCCCCTTTTTACTGCAGAGCTATTGCTTCTACCCTGAGCCCGAAACTGCCCTGTTGTCTCTTTAGTGACAATGTTGTCTCTTTAGGCCTGGGATGCTTCATCCACCGAGTGCTCTGTCCCCTAAGCAGGGCGTCTCCACCCCACGCTCTGCATGATCACAGGTGGAACTTTGATTCATGAAATGTGTGTGTACGTGCACATGCAGGTATGTCCGTACACCTCTGTAAACATGAGTGGCAAATCGTCTTCATAAGGGCTGTCGGCCACTGTAATGAACTGCTGTGACTCCAAAGGATCAACAACCGACTCACCCGATCTAGACACTCGCTCGCCCCCTGGCTCACCCCTGATCTAGACGCTCGCTCGCCCCCTGGCTCACCCCTGATCTAGACACTCGCTCACCCCCTGGCTCACCCCTGATCTAGACGCTCGCTCGCCCCCTGGCTCACCCCTGATCTAGACACTCGCTCGCTCGCTCCCTGGCTCACCCCCTGTCCTGGGTCTGAGCGACAACCATCCCGACTCGGTTTCCTGAACGGCTTTAAGCCCGAGGAAGAAGCGTGAGGAAAAAATATTCCCTTCATTCTGAAAGAGGTTTTGGCATTTCTCTGAGGGAAATTACGGAAAACTGGAAACAGAGCAGAGCCACCCTGAACACACTGCCCCAGACATACACACCGCCCTGGAAAGGGGGCTCCCACCGTGTGTCCCCACAGCGCCGGCACTTCAGAGCGGAAACACTTCTCCGCATGGGCACAGATGACGGCTCCATTCATTCCTCTGTCCCAACAGGACAGGCACTAAAGAAAGGCCCCGGCAATTGACAGGTGAGACTACTACCCCGTCGCAGCCCCACTGGTCCCACAGCGCCCACCCCAGGAGGCATGTGGACTGAGCACCCAACAGCCCTATTTTAGCCAATAACAGCGCCACTAGGTAGAGCATCCGAGCATTTGCCAAATGAGCGACCAGGTGTGGAACGTCACTTTCTGGATACAGTGCTGAGCTCATCCAATGTGTACACTGAGGATCTCAGCCAGCTTTTGTGACCCCCAAGCTGAGTACGACTTGAGTGGAACAGAATCTAACATCTGATACAGGTCAGAGGAATTCTTTACGACAGAAGTTAGACGGGCAAGTGGCCATTCTTCTCAGCACTGGCAGGAAAGACCTATTTATGGGGCCATCACTAGTGTCACCAACACTAACACCAGGAATTCCCGCTGAGGAATCGGCCCAGGGTTGCTAGGGTTTAAGGTTACCGTTTTCCTCCTCCTCGTCCTCCTCCTCGTCCTCGTCATCCTCCTCGTCCTCCTCGTCCTCCTCCCCGTCCTCATCATCCTCATCCTCTAGTTCCTCCTCCAGTTCCTCCTCCTCCTCGCGGTCCTCCTCGTCCTCCCTCGGCTCGTCCTCATCCTCCGAGTCCTCCTCCTCCTCGTCCTCCTCCTTCTCGTCCGTGTCATCCGACCCGTCGCTCTCATAGCGCTCGTCCACCGAGGAGCTGTCCGCCTTCACCGCAAACGGCTTCCTCTTGGGAGCAGGCTCTTGGGGCTGCTTATCTTGTGTTTTTCTTTTCTTGGCCAAGGGGCAGCCATATACACTGTTGGGGGGGGGGGAGAGAGAGAGAGAGTGAGAGAGAGAGAGACCTGGTTACTGTCTTTGAATAGCAGAGCTTCAGGAGTCCTTGATGAGGGGAGCAAAGTTTAGCACAAGCGCGTCGCACGGAGGCCAGAGGTACAGGCACGCCCGTGCTCGTGCGTATACCACCATCTCACAAGCTGCTGGTGAGATTTTTACCAAGAAACCTGGCTTGGGTTTGTCTGGTTACCATGAACATCAGGTCTGACCTCCCAGGCCCTCAGCACTACCCTCCCATCGCAGCCCCAGGTCCCTATGAAGCCCAGGGGCTGCGCTAGGAAGCACTTGGTGACACCACCCTGTGGCCACACACTCAGGGATGTGCACTGGACAAGAAGAATCAGTCCACGCGCACTATAAAAACACGTTATGAAACAGCACTGCATGTATTCGGATTTGTATATTCTACAGACATGATGAATCTCTAGACACAGAGACCCACAACCGCACAAGTCTCACTGTGCAGAAGGCCGGCCCCGCCCCCAGCACTGCAGAGCGAGCTTGGCGTTATTGGCAGTCATCACGAAACTGTGCTTGAATTGGCCCAAACCTGGGTGAGACCTTTCCAGCAGGGCTCACACCTCTCCTTGCACAAAGGCAGTTTTCCAAAGCTGTTGCTAGTTACAGCTTTCTTCCTGGACACCCATGTCTGTCCTGGGAGAAGCAGGGGAGACAGAGAAGCCAGAGGGCTGTGGGCAGGCTCCATGGTCTAAACCAGCGGTTCTCAACCTGTGGGTCGTGACCCCTTTGGGGGTCGAACGACCCTTTCACAGGGGTCGCCTAAGACCATCGGAAAACACATGTATAATTACATATTGTTTTTGTGATTAATCACTATGCTTTAATTATGTTCAATTTGTCACAATGGAATTGGGGGTCTCCACAACATGAGGAACTGTATTAAAGGGTCGCGGCATTAGGAAGGTTGAGAACCACTGGTCTAAACGAAGACATGTGGCCTCCACACTCAGAGCTCTGGGAGGGGATCTTGGCCCCCGAGCTTATGTCTGGACCTGGTATCAGTGACATCTGCATTCGGTCAAGCCCGTCCAGCACATGGTCTAGGCACCTCCTCTGGGCGGGCTCTTAGCATCACTGGAGACTCAGAGGCAGAGACCCAAGTCCCCCCTCAGGCACCTGTGCCCGGGGACTCAGACCAGCCAGCACCACTGCTCTCACCCACTCCTCACCGCTCCCCTGGTGCCTGCACGCGGCCGCACGGAGGGCACTCGGCGAACAGTTGCTGATGAACGAACGACGTGATGAATGTGATGCAAACAGGCACTCTGTCATGAAAACAGGAGCCAGGGAGGCCCTGCCAGGGTGGTGCTGGGAACGGCTCTGAAGGAGACACACACGCTGCGTGGAGAAGAGGCTCTTTCTAAACATCTCACGCAAAACAGAAGTTGCACATGGACATAAGAAGGGAGACAGTTTCAGAAACTAGACTAGAAACAGCTCTGGAGTCAGAGGACGAGGAGGCGGGTGGGTGTGGGGCTGGGAGGTGGGGGCTGGGAGTGAGGCAGGCCAGACCCTGGGGACTGGCTGTGGGACTGCGGACTTCCGTGCAGGGGACAGGGACTATTCGACGTCGCCATCGCACCTGCATGTAAGGACGGCGTGGCAAGGTGCGTGGGCAGCGGGAGGTGCGAAGCTGGAGATGGAGAGCAGGATGCAGGCCATGCCACTGGCCTCTGAAATCCCAGAGGCCACCTCTCTTACAAACATACATTCAAAATAAGAACACCACTTATGACCAGAAAACACTGAAGAAAACAAATACTGGTGTACAAGGTATTTCTCACATGAACTAAACAGAATGCTGAGATTTCTTTTATGCGACTCTTACGTGTTTTGGGGAGCATCTGAGTCCACAACCCCGGGAGACGATCCGGCCTTGAAACACCGGCTCTTCGCAGCCTGCTGCCCTGTGATGCTGAATTACCTCCTGACCACCGGCACTGCAGAGCGAGCTGCACGTCTCAGCCACGCCAGCCGCTCCTCTCACGGACGGGCTGGATGTGAGCGCCTTGTTCAGTGTCCACCCGTGTCTGTCCTAGTGATGAGTCAGTAAGTGTAACAGTGAGTCTGTAGTTTTGCTCCTCCAGGGTCTGCCCATGGCTCTGTGGATCACAGAGCTTTCGTCACCTCTCCATGGCTTGTATCCTTCTTCTCAGCTCATCAATACCTTGTCTGACGCGTCTCCTCTGCATCAAAGCTGCCTGCACCGTGTGGTTCGCTAGCACAGGCACCAGGCCCACTCTTCACCCCCATCACCCAGGCGCTGGGAAAGGCGGTCATTGCTGATTCTCTGCTCTTCAGTGATGTTATTCAACGCCCCTCCTGAGCTGGGCAGTGGGATCCTTCTTTAGTGGCACAAATCCAGCTCTGAGTTGGGAGTTCTGCTGCAGTCTTTCCTCACCCACAGACACTTCGCTTCCCCCAGATGTCAAGATGGCCCGCGTGCTGCTCAGGCCTCCCATGGGGGCTGCCACGGGCAGAGCAGGAGCATGAAGACTCCCCTGTGTGTCACCTGCATTTGGTAAGTCACTGGATTCAAATGCTCAGCTGCTTGGAAGGAGCTGGTCTCCAACTTCAGAGCCTCTGCTGCTCACAGGCTCTGATGCTCAAGGCTCCTCTGTGTCCATCAGTGTAAACTGTCAATCAAACTGCACACACCTGTTCTGCCCTCTCCGATCCACTCCACTGACTGCCAGTGCCTGGTCCTCCTGTCCAAGTGACAACCACACCCAAGCCCCCAGGACAGACTCCACTGTGTGTGTCAAACAGCACGTGGCTCAGGAGCCTGCTCAGATCTGCATCCGTCCTGGGCTGAGACCAGTGGGTCGGAACGTGTCCAAGCAAAGCCTCGGAAGACAATTTGGGAGCATGCGTGGGGAGTGTGGGCCCTCCTAAACCCATGCTCTGTGACCATCATGTCTGCCGATGAGGGGCCAGTGACTGCAGGCGAGCGCTGCCCATGAAGAAGGGGGGTGCCCCGTCCACCGCAGGGGCTGTGTGCGCCACACTCACCCTGCGTGTGGCTGCCCCTCCGTCTCTGCACCCTACACTTCCATGTCCACTCATGACTGCACTGGCTGGATCTCACGTTCTGCTTTCTCCCGAAAGTCATTCCTGCTCAGTCTAGAATTCAGGGTCCTCTACCTTTAAGAACTCTGTACTATTCTCCAAGGAAGATATAAAAAAGGGCAATAAGCACACGAAAAACAATGTTTTTAAAGGTGCCCACAACCTTGACAACAGACAAAACAAAACAAAACAAAACCCTGCACATTAGACACTGAGCATCAGTTTTGTCAAGACCTTCTATTGTTGACTTTTTCATGTGTGCACTTTATCTCAATGAACTGTTTCCTCCTTGGCCCTAGGAGCCCTGCCATAGAAGTAACGACTCGAAATCCCCACATGCCAACACCCCTTCTGGCTGATTTGTTTGTTGGTTGGTTAATTTTCACCCGAGGATATTTTTCCATTGATTTTTTTTTTAAGGGAGAGTGGAAGAGAGAGGGAAAGAGAGAAATATCCATGAGAGAGAAAAACATTGATTAGTTGCCTCCTGCACGTGCCTGACCAGAGCCTAGGCCAGGGAAGAGCCTGCAACCGAGGTACCTGCCCTTGCCCGGAATTGAACCTGGGACTCTTCGGTCCACAGGCTGACACTCTACCCACTGAGCCACACCGGCCAGGCTGGCTGATATTTGACATTGTGGCACGGGCCGACCTGTCTTAGGGTTGGTTCTATCAGCATCTGGCTTTCAACAAAGTGTGTGCTGTCCCCTTTCTGACTAAAGAAGATTCACACCCTGCCATTTCCACATGAGGACGCCGAGCAGGTTACGGTGAAATGACCCCAGCCATCCACGTCTCGGCAGGAAGACTGGCACATTGAACTGCTGTAGGACAGAATCTTTCTATGTTGGCTACAGGTCTCGGGTGCTTTACGGGCGACAGAGTGTATGCATCCGAGCTAGCTGCTGGGAGGCAGGGCTCAGACCATGTCCCCGAACATCAGCACCTGGCAGAGAGGAGCCTTGGGAGTCACTCATCCTTCTTCACCTGGAAAATGAAGACACCACGGCCAGAGACTAAGTGACACCCACGAGGCCAGCAATGGACTGCACTTTCTGCCCACAGCGAGCGTCTCTTGTGCCAGGTGACAACAGCAGTAGAAACACACGGGCCGGGAAAATCACTTCTATTGAGGACTCACTGGTCTGAAGCATCTGACTCGTATTATCTTAAAGGGACTCGTCCAGAGAGAGAACTGGTGGCAACACACACCACGCTGGTCACACCGACAACAGCATCAGTTTCCACTTCAATCTCTGCATATCTGCCAGCTGACAACCCTCTCCCTCCGAGAGGTGCCAGGTCACCTTTCAGAGCACAGCACGGACTATCTGGCCTGTACTTAGCCCAGACAGAGAATTCGATGCTCGAGGCAGCAGCTGTGACTACACCACCAGCAAGAGATTGTTCCACTTTATAACTGCAGTACTAAGTACCTGCAGCAACACTTAATACTGCATAATTACTTATTACTCTAGCGACACCTAATACCGCAGTAACATCACTGCAGCAACACCTAATACCGCAGTAACAACCCTGCAGCACTTAATACTGCAGTAATTACTTATTACTCTAGCAACGCCTAATACTGTAGTAATAACACTGCAACAACACTTACTACTGTAATAACACTGTAGCAATGCTTACTACTGTAGTAATGTTTAATGCTATATATAGTAATACTTACTATAGCAGGAACACCATAAAGCTCCTGAAGTTATACAAGTATTACTACTCTGAATTACAATAATTAAGAAGGAAGAACTGAGAAGCAAGCTATATAAGAATTTATGATTCTACCAGTTACATCCTTGCCCTGAGGGTAAATACATAAGAAAACACATAAAAACAAAGTGCCCAAAATGTCCTGCT